CCGATCCTGGACACTCGCCCTTGCTCTTCACCACCAATTCTGTAAAAAAAAAAAAAAGGTTTAAGAAAGGAAAATATACACGTTTCTATCGAAGGTAACTCGCACACTCACTTGTCCCCATCTCGCAGTTGTGAACGTTGAGAGCGCACTCGGTGCCGAACGTTCTCGGCTTGGAGGTGGCGTCGTTGGGATCGTGGGCGCAAATCGGATCGTAAGCCGTGCCGCATTCACGGACGCAGTCCTTCTTCTTCTTCGCCGCCTCTTTGGCGGCCTTCACGTCCTTCGAAGCGGTCGCGGCCTCCTTGATCTCCTTGGGCTCTTTGACCGGTTTCGTCGAAGAGGAGGTGCTCGCCGTCTCGGCGAACACGAGGGCGCACGCGACGACCAACGCTGAATGGAAATAGAGATGTATATGCGATTATTCAATTGAAGAAGGAGGAAAAAACAGGAAACAGTGCCACGTTTTCGAAGAATTTCAAAAGAAGAATTAAACTTCATCTTCGTCGTGTCACTTTCAAATGGAACGATTTAAGTTTATGTGTATATATATATATATATATATTCAGATAAAGAGAAGACAGAGTGAATACGAATTGAATTGGCAGTAACTCGATAAATAGGTCGCGTCCTTTTGTATATCAAAATCTTTTTTCGTATACGTTTCGACATTTGGAATCCTCCAAACACATGCGCCACGAATTGTACATTACGCATGGCACGTGTTCTCTCTCTCTCTCTCTCTATTTCCCCCTCCTCCTCGGTAATTGATCGAGGAAAACGAAGGAGCAAAAATTGTCGCGACACGTTTTCACGCGTGACCTTAATTCGATCCTCGTTAACAAACGTGATCGACTTCCTTTTCCTCCACCGCGTAGTCAAAGTCACGCGCCTTCTCGAAAGACCTTAATTCGTTCCTCGTTAAAACGTGATCGACTTCCTTTTTTGCTCGCTTAGTCACCGACGAATGTCACGCGGCACGAAAAATAACATGTATGTATATATGTATATATATCTATATATCCACATACGTATGTATACGTTTCTTCTTTCTGTTTACTTACCTAGTAAAACGATCGACTTCATGATTCACGCAGGTGAAAGGAAGCGAGCAGACTGTGCGCGCGGGACTGGGAACGACGAAGGCGAAACTATACTCACCCGTCGAGGCAAAAAACGACTGAAACATTGCCGGCTGTAGCAGCACCGTTTATAAACGAACACAACACATCCCCACCGTGTCCTCCGGTCCGGAAAACTCGAGAATAATAACAGAGGATCACGTAGCGGCAATCTTCGAAATTGGTCGCGCCTCCGCACTCTTCGCCAAGCGGAATTGCTAAGTGTTGCGATTTCGTTGGAAATGGAACGAAACGCAAAGTGGAAAGAAGCGAAAGGCAAGGCTTTGTGTATTGGGCTGGAGACGGCTGAACGTCTTTATTTGGACGGCAAGCGTGTATACATTGTAAATATTATTGTTTACCCGGGTAACGGATAAATACGCGATAAAGGATCCCGTAAAAAGATCAACGAGAAATATTCGCAGAGAATTCAAGATACTTGATCACTGGTCGAGAATATTAATTAACGAATGGATCGTTTAAACGAGAAATTAATCGTTATTAAAAATTGAGGAATGGGATTAAAATTTTTGTTGTGATAAATTTTCTTACGAGAGAGGATGCACAACGAATGTGCCTACGAATTTTTAGAATATTCGTAAGTGAAGTGAATTCATTACCATTGCTAATATCTCGAGTTGATCTTTGTAGGATCCTTAAGAATCGATCGACGACCGAATTCATGATCGGATCGAGAAAAAATATTTTTCCAGAAACGAAATTGCGATTGCAGGTTAAGACTTCTCTTGTATGAGCCGAGTTTCCTCCATGATATAGTTTTGCAACAGTTGTTCGTAATCCGGCCAGGATTCATCGTGTTCCTCGAAGGCTCTTCGTATTTGGCACTGAAGCGTCGAGCATTCTTTATCTGAGCTCGATCGTGGTTTATCCATATCGACTCCGTATTGCTTCATCGCGTCGTGCACAACCAAGGTTAAGCGATTCAATCTGTCCCACACTATCGAGTTTGCTAAAAGTGTAAAAATAATTCTCTAAAATATGCACTTTCGCAATTAGCATCTCGAGTTTAAAAAGATTTCCTTATAAATTCTACTTAAAACTTTAAGAATTTAATTTAAAAATCCAAGAATTGATACTTCTGCAACTTTGTATCAGAAAGTAATTCTTAAGAATAAATATTTTTTCAATCATCTTGATTCAAAAATATTTCTTTACATATTCTACTTAAAACTTTAAAAAATTAATTCAAAAAACCAAGTGCTGATACTTCTGGAACTTTGAATCAGAAAGTAATTCTTAAAAATACATATTTTTGCTACCATCTTGATTCAAAAATATTCCTTTACAAATTCTATTTAAAACTTTAGGAAATTAATTAAAAAATCCAAGAAACTTTGCATCAGAAAATAATTTAAAAATACATATTTTTGCAACTATCTCAAGTCAAAAATATTTTTTTACAAATTCTACTTAAAAGTTTAAAAAATTAATTCAAAAAACCAAGTGCTTTTGTAACTTTGCATCAAAAAGTAATTCTTAAAAATATTTTTGCTACCATCTTGATTCAAAAATATTCCTTTACAAATTCTACTTAAAACTTTAAGAAATTAATTAAAAAATTCAAGAACTATAACTTTGCATCAGAAAGTAATCCTTAAGAATACATATTTTTCAGCATCTCAAGTCAAAAAGATTTCTTTAAGGATTTAATTAAAAGTACAAAGGCTTCTGCAACTTTGCATCAGAAAATAATTCTTAAGAATACATATAAGAATTTCTCAACTACTATCTCAAGTCAAAAAGATTTCTTTAAGGATTTAATTAAAAATACAAAGGCTTCTGCAACTTTGCATCAGAAAATAATTCTTAAGAATACATACTTTCTCAACCCTACTATCTCGACTCAAAAAAATTTCTTTACAAGTTTTATTCAAAACTTGGAGAATCTAATTAAGAACTACAAATCCAAAAGATGACCCAAAACACTACCAACTACAACTTTGCATCAGCTGCGCCTTAGAATTTTAATAAGCACTTTAACATATTACCATAACGATTGAAAAGATTAAAAATTGCCATATTAGATCTAAAAAAAAGAAAAAACTAAAAACAGGTATACAATAAAATAATACCGTTCAGAAACCGACGTCCTTCGTCCTCATTGTCGTTGTTCTGCATATTGTTCCCCTTGTCACCTTTCTTGATCTCGAGTTTCGGAATGAAGAGCAACAGACAGATAACAGCGATGAACTTGACGATCATCTTAAAGATGACCAGCTTGAGAAGGATCTTGGCCAGGGTGAAGGCGTTCAACTTGAGCGCGAACGGCCACGAGAAGTCGACGGACGGGAGGGAGAGTTGCACCGACTCGGATATCCCGTGCGGCGCTCCGTAAGCTGGAACGTTTTCGATCATCGTCCGGAAAATCGAAAAGAACGAAGACTATTCTATCCACTTCGACGTGAAAACCGAGCCTAATACGATACCTCGTGTCTCACCTTGCTGTGGCTGGTGCGGCGAGTAACCACCCCCGTTTGCCCCGTACTCCCCGTAAGAAGAATAATCGTTGGAGGATGAAGGTGGTCCGTAGGAAGGTGGTCCGTAAGAAGGTTGGGGCGGTCCGTAAGTATTTTTAACCGCGTTAAAATCGACGGACGTTCGACTAGGCAGGGAGTAAGAGTCGCTTGGCACCATGGAGAAAGAGTCCACGTGAACGATTCGAGAGGAGGAAGCGGGTATCTCGGAACGTTTCGTGTAAACCGGCCCCAACGATTGCTCCTTCCTTCGATGGAACGATCCTGATCCAGTTCCAACCACGTCGACGATTCCCTCACGGGGATCGGTGCTGGTGCGAGAATGCCTTAAAGCCTCCAGGTAACTGTCCCTGCGGTAACTGAAAGGACCGCCATTTTTTCTTTCAACGCTCCTATTAATAGACGAGTCTCCGTCGGAACGAGCTTCCATCTTGTCCTCCTTGTGATTGATAATAGAAACGTTGGACAGATTAACGTCAACTTGGTTTTCAGGTGTCACGGTCCCGTTCCCGAATTCGTGCCCGTTCGCGACAAGGATCAGTGGCAACAGAAGTCCAAGGACGGGGGAGAAATCTCTTGCACGATGCGCGATCATCGCACGAACAAAGAATGGAACAAGTCGGAAGAGCGAGCACAACTCGCGCGAGCGCGAGCGTTTTTATCTTATTTTTTTGAGGAGAGATCGAGCCGAACGATCTTTCGATCGAACGATACCCGCGGCGAACGAATTTCGAATGGTAACGTTGGGACGAGCGAGGGAACGCTCCAAGTTCCGCCATGCTTCCCCCTCGAACGACGAGGAAACGAAGAATGCATATTAAGCGGGCGTAACGGTTTAAGTTGCCCGAGGATTGTGTATTCGAGGATCGTTTTCGCCTCGGCTTCGAATTCGCCACCTCCGTCGTATTAACGGTGTCGGTTGTTCACTCCGCTTTGTTCCGATCCGAAAGAATGGAACGAGACGCGGTATACGCTCCCGTGGAAAGGCGTCGTTCCATTGTCATTCGTTCGAAGTAACGATAACGGTGTCGTCGAACCTCCTACGTTCCCTACGATCCACTGGCACACTTAATAACGCGGCACGAAAATCGGTCGCGGCGTGCCACCGCGTTTCACTCGCGGAAAGGGAAATTCGAGTGATCGATGACGTTGCCCGGTGGATTCGCCTAGGCAACGAACACCACCCAACCACTTCTTTTCCAGGGATTTGTATAAATATTAATATTTGTTACTTCATCCTCGTCAGATTGATTAATTAAGAAAATTATGTTATATAATCAACCAGAGAAAGTATTTTTCGAAATAACAATAAAGATTAGATAGATATCAATTTAATTTGTGAAGATTATTAATCGATAATCATATTGTTTGGCAAAATCATGTCGTTGGAAACGATTAAGACCTCGTAAGTAATAATATATTCGACTTTTTCTTTTCTTTGTTTTGATTCTTTGATTAGATCTCCTTTTATGGTGATGTCTTTTTATGTTAGATGGATCAAGTTTGGAAAGTGTCGAGACTTTGTCCTGGTCGGTAAGGACACGATCGCGATGGCCTCCGGTATCTATATCCGTTTCCATGAATTTGGATGCAAAGAAACACGAGTGGAGCGATTCGACGGCGGTGAGAGAGGAGACGGTGCGTGTTGCCTCGCTGGACTTCCGGTGAGTCGCTTTCGTCTCGCTTTGGTATGAATAAACAAAGGAATGAAAACGTGTCGTGCGATACATCGGCAGGTGGCATCGATTTTCTCCGTGGTCGAGAGGAAATGCAATCCAAGGATCTCGGTGTTCGCTTATCCCACGATGCGAAGGATTAGTCAGTGCACCGGAAGCGAGGAAAAGATTGGCTACTTGTGCTGCGCGTTTGCTGGTACTGAGTATCTGATTGGTCAAGGGACTTACCCTGATTTTTGCTTGTTACTCTGGAATTGGAGAACGGGTGAACAATTAACAAAAATAAACGGGATGGACGTGACAAAATTTGATATTAATTGCACAAGAATCACGTAAGTACTATCCATAGAATATATTGATTACTTTGTAAATGAAAAAAAGAAATTGATCTTTTATATTTAAAAAATACTCATGTTCAGTTGTGTTCTATTAAACGTCACAAAATAATCAAAGTAATTCCACTTATGAATAGTATTTAACTTTTCTATGAATAGTATTTAAACATCAGAATAATCAAAGTAGTTCCACTCATGTTCTATGAATAGTATTTAAACATCAGAATAATCAAAGTAGTTCCACTTATGTTCCATGAATATATAAAAATCACAGAATAATTAAAATAGTTCTACTTATATTCCATGAATAGTATTTAAGTAGAATTACTTTGATTATTCTGTGATATTTAAATAGAATATAATTAAACGTGAATATTTTTTAAATGTAATTGTAAAAAGTAAAGTTCTTTTTTCATTTATAATCAAACAATCAAACAATGAATGTGAAGAATAAAATTATTCATTCAATTTTCAACAGGTGTTCGACTGACTCCTCCCAGCTGATGACACAATTCGTGACATCCACCGGTATGCTATCGGTGTATCGGGTGTTGGCCTGTTCGAAAACTGTTCGCCTCTTTCCAATCGAAACTTGTTTCGAACGCATCCCAGTCTCTTGTTCCTGGTTTATGAATGGAAGCTTGCTCTGCTGCGACGAGTATGGCACCGTTTGGTCCATCGATTTTGAAGAGAAACATCGGATTCGAACGGTGGTCCAAGCTTCTTCCTTCGATCATGTTCCTTTAGACAAGAATCCTAACCTAATTTGTCACGCCGATGGCGTGTTACTCGTATCTACGTCGAATCATCGCATCCAAGCGACGGTATAATACGGTATCATTAAATTAGAAATATATAACGTCTATTCACGGATATCTATTCACTTCTAACTGTTAGTTTTATAGGAAATCGCGAAAAGATCGAAACGACGAGTGGAAAACAGCTTGGAAGACTTCGTTGCCTTCGTATCCGAGACACGCGGAAAGTGATCCATCTCACGATAGGATATTAATCCTCGGAGAAAATGGAGATCTTTATGAATTGCTTGACGCGTTAAGCGATAATCCTCGACTCGAATTTTTAGTAGTACGAAAGAATGTAAAATACGTTAACATAGTTTCGTTGCAAAAATCGTATTTAGGAACTTTGGATCGAAATGATCGATTTGCGATTCTCGATGTTAAGATTGGCAATCTTGTTTGTCCGTCTACGCTATTGGCGCATCATGGTAAAGGTCGGTAAAGAATAGTTACTTTTTAGCTAATTCTTAAAACTAGAGCAATCGTAACGAGAGCAATTTTTGTCTCGCTCAGTTGCCGACTTGGTCTCGCATCCTGTTTTACCGATTACGGTAAGCTGCAGTTTCACGGGAAATTGTCTTCTGATCGACTCGTCGACGATAACGCATGGTTCAAGAATCGTCACTTGCGTTCATCTTCAACGAGAAGCCTTGGATCGCGTTAAATTTTCCAAAGAAGGTCGTTTATTTGGCGTTGCCTCGTTTCAAATCGGTCGATTGTTTCTTTTACAAATATGCATCGTCTCGAACGAGTCCAAGAAGCACATGAGAGTGGCATCTTGGTTACAACTCGAACGAAAGGTAAGCTATCAATTTCTCGAGATTTTTTCCAGACTTTTCCTCACAGACACCTGTTTAGATGATCGATTTTCTGATCTACGAAATGGACGAAGATCGTTCCGCGAAGGTATTGTGTCTCGTTGGAAACGAAAAATCAAGCGATCCTCGTGCAGGAAACGAGATTATCGTGTACTCGTGTCGATTATTCGACCGAGATCTCTGCGTCGAGAACGCGGATCGTTCGATCAAGCTTCTCTCTTCCTTCGAACGCATTCACCACGGAAGAGAATCGAGTCGCGAGATAATCGGAATCCCGTATCTCACCAAACAATTGCATCGAATCGAATTGAAGGTAAAAATAATTTATTCTAAAGCAGACAGCTTTTAATATGATTCCTAATTAAAATAAGAAACAACTATTTATTTCAAACTGTAAGAATCATTGGCCAAAAAATTTATAGGCAAATTTTGAAGATACGCTTCTCGTAGAAGCTCTACCGTCGCTTCACCAAACCAGAGGGATCACGATCTCCTTTCATCGCCCAAAATCTCGCGATTCTCCAAATCTGATCACCTGCGGCTTCGATGGATTGGTCGTGCGCAGAGATTGTGACGAGCTAAGACGAGTATTTAACTTGTTCGCCGCGCATCATCGAGCGGAAGGTGGCTGTCGATTCGCCTCGCTCGTCGACGACTCGCTCGTCTCCCTGGGAAGGAACGGGGATCTGGTCGCCAACAGGTCACGGTTTCAATTTTCTTTTCGTTTCATCCTCCAATCGATGAGGACATCTAACGATCGTGTCGTCCATCGCCATTAGGATTCTTGGACGTGATGCGCGAGCTTCGACCAGCTGCGAAGGGAGAAAAATCGCACAGGTGGACACGATCGAGGTAGAGGAGGAAGAGACGTGGATCGAAGGGGCGATTCGCAAACGGTCGATGGCCGAAGAGAGAGAAACGACGCGTCTCTCTGTTCTTAAAGATTGGAACGAGTTGAAGAGTCGGGTAAATATTTATTAACAATTTTTTCCCTCCCAATCACGATCTCTTTCACGCTGATATACGTAGAATATTGATATATATTCCTGATATATGTCGAGTGAAAATAAATACAAGGATAATATGAAAGGAAATTCGAAGAAGTTAACACTTGGAACGAGGTAACGTAATAATTTAATAATTCAAGTAGAATCATCTTGATATCCTTGAAGAACGATTGCGATTAAATTAAAAATGAATTAATAGTGTGTAATAAAATAATGTTTTATCCAATGACAGGTGAAAACGTTGCTCGACGAGAACGAGAAGTCGCCATTGAGTACTCGCCTTCCGATATCCGCGTTCGATGTGAACAAGGAGGGTCGAGAACTCGCGCTGGAAGCGGCCAAGGCAAAGGAGAGACGATTGGCGAGAGACGCGGAGGGGCGAATCGCGCAATTACAACGCTCGACCTGTTACTTGCGCGAACGATTCCTGGATCCATTAATTGTTCGACCGAGAAGCATTTATTCGTTCTTCGATCGATCGAAGGTTACCAATTATCCTCTTATGCAATTAACGCCTCGAGAGGCGGAATTTCCGTCGCCGTTTCGATTCTCGACGGACATCAGGGAACTGGTATCCAGGTATCTTAAAATATATATTTTGATAATAAAACGTATCATTGAAATTTTCTATTTCTGTTTATTTTTAATACTGGATTATTGTTTCTCTCTTCATTTGCTTGTTCTAAGAAAATTTAGAAAAGAAATTAAGAAAAGAATCTGTATTATAGGTTGAAGAAAGAGGAGAATCCACAAACGATGGACGAGAACGGGTGGAATAATTGTCACGACTTCGTGGACGTTTTCGAAACTTGTATTGTTACGGATGAGTGGGAACGAGAATTGAAGGAAAAATTCAACGAACGGTTCGAGGGAATACGATTCGCGAAGCAAAGGGAAATGAGAGCGTTAACCGAACGCGCGAAAGAAGCAAAACGTCTCGTTCTTGAATTGAAAAGTGCGTTCAACGTGGACGCGAATTCGAGCCTCTTCGAAGCACCGGATTGGCATCGAAAGGAGATATTGGAAGATACTTTCGATCGAGACGAGGAACCAAACGATTGCGCTCAACCGAATAAATTGGACGAAAATATTGGTTGCGAAGGAGCATCCACAGAGTCGAAAGTTGAAGATTTTTATCAGAAGGCGCTCGACAGAATGATGGATGGTGTTCTAGAAGTTAGGTAGTGAAATTAAGCTTGTGTAAAATATGTTTATGTAAAATATCTTCTTGATTCTCGTATTTCACAGATTGGAACATAATGCGAAGAGAAGAATTCGAAGGCCGGATTGCTTTCGAAAAGATCCTTCCGCTTATACAGAGGAAGATATTCGTTCGATCGAATCGTACGAGGAGAAGATTCGCGCTCGAGGAATTGATCGAGCAAAGTACAAATTGATGTTAGAATCTGAAATCGAAAGGCTCAGAGGTAATAATTTATATGTAGTTATTATAAAAAAAAACGAGTGATCAGCGATACTACAATGATTTTATTTCCAGAAGAATTCTCGAAGGGTGTGAAATCTTTTGACGACGAGCTGAACGATTTGGCCGCGGAAAAGATACGAGTCGAGCGATCGATACTCTCGCAGAAGCTGTTCAAAATGCAAGAAATTCTTCGGCGAAGAAAAATCGTTGAAACGAAACGTGAAATTCGACGCGTCATCGACGAAGAATTAATTTCAGCGACGGAGGAGGCGCGTATTTTTGCCGAGGAGCGGGATTTGTTCGAGGCGGGTGTCGCCGAGCTGAGAATCGGCTACGAAAATGCGCGGAAACGGGACAAATTGCTCGAGGATAAATTTCGATTTGAATTCAAAGAGTTGAAGCCATCGATGGTTGAGCACCTGTTTCGACAATATCGGAAGAGACCGAGGGTGTTGGCTGGTGGGCCATGCGGCACGTCACCCGCGTTCCTCGCCGAATTCGTTCTTTGCGTGGTCGAACGACGAAACTCGGATCTCTTACCTCGAGAATGCTCCAACTACTTGCGAGCGATCGATGAATTGGAGGCAATGCCGGAAGGATTGCCGTGTCGAGTCGAGCCTGATCATTGGCGCCTTCTTTGTCGTCTCAGAAGGCTAAAAGTGGAAGCGGAGACAAAGGTAAACAAATTCACAACAATTCGGAGATAATTTAAGAATTAAATTGATTAAGTTGATTAATTTAAGAAAAAAAAAAAAAAAATAACATTCTATTAATTTCGAAGGTGAACAGTTGCGCGATCGAGCTGGCAGAAGCGGAACAGAGTCTGGCGTTTCTGCGAAACGTGTGCTCCGCGAGTCGAGACAAAGTCGAACGATGCAAACAGAAACTGGAACACTTGGAAAAATCTGTATCCGATCTAACCGATGATCGAGAAATCGCATTGCTTTTGAAAATGGAACAACTTCGAATTAGAGCTAAGGGTTGTCCGAGGTCCGATTGGCAGGATGCGGTTGTAATATCGAAGGAGGAATTGACTCGCGTAAATCAAGCGATCTCGAAGGCCGAGCGAGAAAGATCGGCCGCCCAACGACGACTCGCGAATATAAAGGACCTCGTTTCGCTCGAGGAGTGGCGTCACGCTTGCGCGAAAATGAGAATGGAAGAATTGCAGGAAAACGCGAAAGACCTCGATTTAGTTAAAGTATAGTGTTTTTAATCTTTCGAATTAAGTAGTTTTTTTTTTTTTTTTCTATTTAAATTAAATGTAAATAACATGTTAATGATTTTCTTAGGTAAGCAGAATTGTACGCGAATGTTGCCAGCGTATGGAGCGGGGATCGTCGGCAAAAGATGAGAATGCTCGAATTCAAAATCTTCTGCGGGTCCAACAGGAGGTGAGCGATCTTTGAAACCGAATTTATCGAAATATAATAAATTCGTGAACGGAGGATTTTCGTTTTCAGTGGCATCGGGACGTGGCAGAGCGAAAAAAGGTCAGGTTGGAAAAGATTACGAAGGAGATACGGATTTGGCAACGAAGAAACGCTTGTTCCGAGATAAAGATTAACCAATCGTCGATTCGAAGAGACGAGTTTATTACCGCGTTACGAGATCCGCTGCGATTAAACGTCGCCGCTTTTAGAACGCGTAAAATCCGAGCGATAAGAAAAAGGGCGCGTCTCGCGCGCCAGATTCGAGACAATTTCGAACGATTGTCTATTCTTAAAAATATTTTAGAGATTTCTAAGTTGCGAACTTATCCAACTTTAAAGTTTAAACTTTAATGCATGGATATTGATGTAGAGATATTAATATGAAAAAATAGGATGGCATATTAGCAAAATAGTTATATAATTTTATTTATAGATATGAAAGTTTCAAATATGCAATTTCGATTTATTCTTAACGAACTATCGAGAAAAAACAATCAGAATCGCATCCCTTATCTTCTCTCCAACTCACTCATTGTGACACGTAAATATGTATGTATATATTATCTGGATAAACTTCAACATATACTTCGATAATATTAAATTTATTTATTCTAATTAATATATATTACCCTGTTATATATTTACCTTTTTAAGATCACAAGGATTTCCCCAAGTTGATAATATTATGGGATTCCCCGAATACATTATTCGTCTTTTCCTCTTTGCTGAAGGAAAAAAACAATTTTCCTTCGGTATAAACAGCAAACGCGCTCACTCTCTCTCACGATAACACAACGCAGGAATGATAAATGACAGAGAGTGCACGGGTCAAGCGGCTTATCAAGCCGCTTGTTTATGCTATTTTTCGCACGGTACGAACTTTGTGTGTCTTTTCTCTTTTGAAGAAGATACCGGTCAAAGAATCGTCGTTATCTTGACGCAAAGAAAATTCACGTCTCGTTTGCACACGCACACCGTGATACGATCGTGGCCAATCGTTTTATTCGCGATACGATCACGTATGTCGCTTGTCCTTGTCGTCAATTAACTCATAAACCTGATGTCGCATTGTAAAACGAATACATGTGTACGATTCGGAAAAATGAGACGACAAATGACCAAGGAGGAGACCACGCAGAGCCGGGCGAATCGGTGATTTGTGCGCATCGAGTGTCACTCCTGAAGAGGAGGAGGCAAGGAAAAGAGACAGAGAGAAAAAAGGAAAACGAAGAAAAGGTGAAGGGGATTAGGAAGGGGAGGAAGAAAGAAAGAGAGGGAGAGAGAGGATGACAGAGTCGCGACGCATCGTCTATCTCAATCCTGATCACTCCCCTCCTCTCAGGTGCCAATATGAGGAAAAAAACACTCTTGTATATATAAGGAGGCATGGAAAGTTGCCTTGTACAATCACAAGATAGTTCGTCGCGAGTTTTTCATCCATTTCACCTCTTAATTTTCGTACTCGGCGACGATTGTTGATTAACGCTTCGAAGATGATGCTTCGATGCAATATTTGGACCCTCGGGGTCGTCGTGCTTTTCGTCAACTCGATCCTCTTTGTCACTGCCGCACAGGATTCCTCGGGACGAATCTGTAAGTAGAAACACGTAAATAACGAATCGAGATATTATTTTTTTTAAAGATTCTTTTCGAAAATCTTTTTCTAACCAAACTTCTTTATTAAATTCGATGTATTTTGTCTTGTTATCGTAGTTACGATATGCGTCCCTGAAATATACTCGAAGGAGTGCGATGACATGATAAAAGATTCCGCTGTCAAAGGAATTCCAGTTTCCTGTATTTCTGGCCGCGATCGATACGAATGTATCGAAAAAGTTGGAAAGAAAGAGGCTGATGTGGTAGCTGTCGATCCGGAAGATATGTATTTGGCGGTGAAAGATAACAAATTGGCATCGAAAGCTGGCTATAATGTTATCGAACAGGTACTTTTTTTCTTTCCTCTTCGTTTCTTCTTCATAATACATTTCTAAAATTTATAAAGTTATTCCTCAAAAAAAGATAAGATTTCATACATAAATATACCTGCATTTTTAATCAATTAATAGGTGAGAACAAAAGAGGAACCGCGCGCACCGTATCGTTATGAAGCAGTGGCTGTGATACACAAAGATTTGCCGATTAACAATGTGCAAGGATTGCGTGGATTGAAGTCTTGTCACACCGGTGTGGGTCGCAATGTTGGTTATAAAATACCGATCACCAAACTCACCGCTATGGGAGTGTTGAATAACCTCCATGATCCAGAATATTCAGCTCGCGAGAACGAACTACGCGCTTTGAGCTCTCTCTTCTCCAAAGGATGCTTGGTCGGCACCTGGTCTCCAGATCCAGCGATCAATCGTAGATTGAGTAAGTTTCCTTTTCATTAATATCGATACAATGAATCAATCTTCTTCGACCTATATCATAACCTATAATATTAAGCGATCGAATCTAAATTCGATCCGATTATTTTGTATCTAACTTTACAGAGGAAACTTATTCGAATATGTGCGCTCTCTGCGAGAAACCAGAAGTTTGTGATTATCCAGACATATACTCAGGATACGAAGGTGCATTGCGGTGTCTGGCGCATAATGGCGGAGAAATTGCTTGGACTAAAGTGATCTACGTGAAACGCTTCTTCGGCTTACCAGTTGGTGTAACGGCCGCGATTCCGACATCAGAAAACCCAGCAGATTACAGATACTTCTGTCCAGATGGCAGCAAAGTGCCTATAGACGCGAACACGAAACCATGTACTTGGGCTGCCAGGCCTTGGCAAGGATACATGACCAATAATGGAGTGAACAACGTAGAAGCGGTTCAAAAGGTTTCTTTTTTCTTCTTCTTCTTCTTTTAAGTCTCTTTTTTCTTCTTCTGTCCGATAAATCATTATAATTTGCGTAATAAATCTTTCAGGAATTGACAGATCTTGGTAAATTGGGAGAAGAAGAGAAAGCAGATTGGTGGAAAGATATTATGTTACTGAACGAAAAAACCTTAGCCGTTCCTGCACCGCCAGTGTTGCCCGAAAATCATCTGAAAAACGCAAAATATTTAGACGTGATTGAAAGGAACTCTGGAGCTACGGATAAGATCATTCGTTGGTGTACTTGGAGCGAAGGAGATCTCGAAAAGTGTAAAGCTCTTACCAGAGCGGCATATTCTAGGTATTATTCTATATTATTTTGCTTCATATAACAGCATCATCTTCTCATTATTATATTATCTATATTTATTATCCATTTTTCACCAGGGACGTAAGACCCAAATACGATTGTATACTAGAAAAGAGTCAAGACGATTGCTTGAAAGCTATCAAGGAAGATAACGCGGATTTGACGGTTGTCAGCGGAGGTTCGGTTCTTCGGGCGACCAAGGAATACAACGCGGTTCCCATAATCGCGGAATCGTATGGACAAGGCTCAACGAATTTCAATGAAAGGCCAGCTGTGGCAGTTGTTTCCAAGTCTAGCTCGATAAACAAACTGGGTAAGAAATAGCATTGTTCTTTGATACAATTATTCCTCTTTTCGGAACACACATTTTCACGAGTGCATCTATTTATTCTACGTTTCAGAGGATCTGAGGAACAAGAAGTCTTGTCACAGCGGATACAAGGATAACTTTGCTGGTTGGACAGCACCGATATATACATTGAAACGCAAAGGTCTGATAAAGTCGGAGAACGAGGCAGCCGATTTCTTCTCCGGATCGTGTGCACCCGGTGCACCGGTCGATTCGAAACTGTGCCAGCAATGTGTCGGTAAGCTTGCAAGCAACAACGATCGAATCCGACAGGCAACCAAGTGCAAAGCGACCAACGAGGAAACGTACAGAGGTGGAAAGGGAGCTCTCTCGTAAGTTTAATAAGCTTAATCTGATTCACGATCGAATCGCAATGTAATTTTTTTTTTTTTTTTTTCGTTATTTTTAGTTGCCTGTTGGACGGCAAAGGAGACGTCGCGTTCGTACCATTGACCGCTCTATCCGAGGAAGGCGTACAGAGCAAAGATCTCGCTCTGATCTGTCCGGATGGTGGCCGCGCTGAAATCAACGAGTGGGAACGATGCAACTTGGGGCTGGAACCGCCAAGAGTAATCCTCAGTTCAGGTGCTAAGAGTCCAACGGTCTTGGAGGAATTAACTCACGGTACATTAGCCGCCAGTACTCTTTACTCGAAGCGACCCGATCTTTTACATTTGTTCGGTTCTTGGTCCAATCGGCCGAATCTCTTGTTCAAGGTAACGAAACAATTTCCTCTTCTTTTCTTGCCAATCAAAGAGCGAATTCAATTAATTTTCACACTTATTGCATTACAGGACGAAGCGAAAGATCTCGTATCGGTGAACAAATCGTGGAACAAGTGGAACGATTGGCAGGAGACGCAAAATAATTACGGTGCTGCTTAAAATTGGGAATTGAATGCCGCTTTTCGTCGTGAATTATTTAACGAAACACGATAATGCTGTATTATCAAATGCTGAAATAAAATGCCATAGCAACAGACACTATCGATATTTTTATTTCAACGATCTATCTTATTATTATCTCTCGCACATTCATACACTCGCTCACTTTCTTTTGACTTATAATATATAGCAATAAAAATAAATAAAAATTGCAAACGATAGTAATAAAATCGATTTACGGATCGAAATATATCTCTGTAGAAGACAGCTTGGTAACCAGCTCCAAGAAAAATTGCGATATGCGACCGTATCTACTGCGATTGTATTTTTTGTACACCATATCGAAGCCATGGACTTTTTGCCCAGAATGTAACACACGTCGCAATATCAAAACACGCGTTTCATCGATCTCCTTATCTTGAAACCTAGAAATAATCGCAACGTTCTATAATTAAAATTAAGTTTAAGAAAACTCGCATGCGGATAAAATAAAGCGATATTAACTTATCGTCCGGTGAACGTGGAATAATAGCAAAGAGCAAACCTCTCCAGAACAACCATCGAGGCGTGTTATCTATGAGACCAAGCACCAGCTCTATTATAGTTAAGCTAATCAATCTTGCCGGTATTCGACAAAAATGTTCATCTATCAACGTGATGTCGATCTAAAAATTTCACAGGATTTAACAGTGATCAGAAATCAGAAAATAGAGAGAAATGAAAGAAAATATTTCGTACCAGATAACAGCCACAATGATATAAAAATACAATCATCTCATTGGATATATCGATGTAACGTATGCAACTTAACAAATGATGAGAGAACAGAGAAAATGCATCGGCAAATGTGATGTTGAAATCGAGAATATGCAAGATCTTTCTCTCGTACACCATCAGCAAATTCTCTCTTCCTGTGTAGAGATCCTGGGCAAGGCTCACTATTGTGTTAGCCTGGAAAAATCAAATCGAACAAGAAAATAATTTTATCAAAATCTTTACTCGGGCATCTCCTTGCTTACCGTTGGAATTTTGTAATAATTTTCTTGTTTCTTGAGCGCGATCCACAGACTAGCCAATGCCGTTAATTGGAAGAACATCGTCTTCACCGAAAGTTTGTCCATAACGGCGTCGAACAACTTCACCGACTGATACACGATGTACGACGGGAATCGACAATGATTCTACGGATTTAAATCAAATTATTAAATCAAATTTTTGTTAGGGGAAAATCGATTCATCAGCGTGCATTTGAAGAAATTATTTCTTCACTGTACTTACTCCAACGCGTATCATAAACGCGACGACTAATCTCCTCTGCTCGGGATTAATATGTTTCGTTAAAAAATTAGCCGACAATCGTGGAGATCTCTCTTCCCTTTCACGCTCGATCATCGGTACATCATCGAGATACTCCATGTAGAACACCAAATCGCAGAAAGAAGAATTCCGTTCGGATGGAATGATCTCGTTGAACTCAAGTTTTTTCAAATTGGTTTGTCGATTTATCATCTTATAATAAACGATCAAAATAATCGGTATTTTCATCAATATTCGGGACAAAAGGATTGAAAAAAATTTGCAAGAGAAAAGCGAGATTCTACCCTGAGAGGTGTCGATGGTGCTGGAAATGAGGGTACCTCATCAATAGGTGTTGCCACTCTTTCAGACAATGTACTTCTTTCTCTAGAGAAATTCTTCGTTGCATTTTTCTCACCTTTTTCTCTGTGAGAAAAAAAAAGTTACTTAAAAAGTGTTGGAAGGTATTTATTGAAAGATAAAAAATAGATAAATAAATAAATAAATAAAATTCTCAAAATTCATACTCGTTACTTTTATCCTTGATCTTGTTTTCAATTTGTGAAGCTCCGCTTTCGAATGATTTCCATATATTTCTCGATGCGATTAAGCTTTTCTCTGTCAAGTCGAAGTTGAAACGTTGCGCATGCGAACTAGTCGCAGTCTCAATCGATATCGAGCGTCTCGGAATGATTCGTGTACTTGTTTGCAGCGATCGTACGGAACTCGATTTTACTCGGCAAGGTATCTTAGACCGAGGAAATTCGATCATATCTCGACATTCGGGTGGGGATCGTTTTTGCATTATTTTTCTCGATTCCGTCTAAAAAAAAGAAAAATAATAAATAAATAAATAAACTAATGAACAAAAAGAAAAAAAATTAAAATTTGATTTACCTGTTTCAGATTTTCTCCTCTTTTAAAATGCGACTCTATTGAATCGACCGATGTCATATTGGAAATACGATGCGTTTCTGCTTGAGAATCGCATACATGCGAAATTTTATTTGCATCGTCGCAATGAACGTGAAATGGCATCTTTTTACCGGATACATTCCAAAGAGAACGATTCGTTCGACTGCGTTCGTTCGAGACTTCTTTTTTTAACTCGTTGTTCGAACTGAGGGGCTGAGTAACGTTCAAACATCTATTAATGAAATCGATATAAAATCAATGAATGTAGAAACATTGATAAAATTATTATGTTAATATAATTAATTTTTGTTTTTCTATAGCAAAATTAAATTTACAACGGTATTAAAAATCTCGAAAAATCGTACTTTTTACCGTGAAAACACATCAATTTTAAAATTATTATTTAAATACCTCTCTTTCGACTGGTCAATCCCTCGGTTCGAACTTGAGGAGATACGTTGCGTTCGACATATTGTATCACCCGTGAAAATCATTTTTCTACCACCGATCGTCGCGTTCTTCGCAGAAGGGCACTCATTTTCTTTCCCACTCGGTAATAAAATTTCTTTTGACGAGATCTTTCTCTCAACGGAAACCTTGTTTCGCGTTGTATGAGCTATTTCGGTTTTGGATAAATTACTCGTCATTTCTTCGTTTCCACGTGAGTTTGATTTTACGTGATCGCTACAAGAAAGCGTGAACAACTGTCGTCTCTTGCTCGTCCGGACGCGTGCCAGCTCGATCGTTTGTTTATATATTACGTGCGATCTTGGACGAACGTTGAAGAACGCGACGACTCGCGCGAACGATTCAACTCGACAAGTGCGCGACTAATTCGTCTTGGATCGTCGTTCTCGATTTCGACCGATCAATCGTTCGACCAACAACAACAGGCAAACAATGGAATAGACGGCTATCAGAAAAAGGAGCAACGGTGCCGCGTCTTCCAATTCTACCGAGCTCCATCCTTTTTTTGTCTGGAAAAAAAGAAGACGAAGAAGAAGAAGACACTTGCGATGCGATCATTGAAGGGGAGAATATTAATATTAAATATTAAAGTTTTTATTTAATATTAAAAATAATATTAAAAATAATACCCGTCGTATCTCGTTCGACCATTCGATCTTGAGGAGCCGTTGAAGAATTCCGCTGTCCCGCAGTAAAAGAATACTGTGGAAAAAAGAGGAAAGGAGAAAAAATATAAATTATAAAAATCGTATCAATTGTTAACATCTCACTTGGTATCGATAATGCCACGGTAAGGACTTTGAAACGGGACCGCCATGGCTATGGTCACTTGCATAATCGAGTCCAAAGGTTCAAGCACGCAGTCCACTTTTCCTTGCAACAGGGAAGCCATATTGTCCAACGTCATGAACGCATAATTCTTCTCCCGGCAAACGCGTTTCAAACCATCGATATAATTCACAGGCAGATCGGTCTCTCTTGTCAATAGCTCGTTGAACATGATCGTGAGCACGGTATCGCTCGTGTTCTGATCACAAAAAAAAAAAAAACACAATTCACGAATCAACGAATCACGAAATTTAATCAATTTAATTATTTCAAACAATCTGTCATTACCTGAAAGAAAGTGTATTCGGCCGAATTGGCAACCACCGCGAACCGATAGCTGCCATCCTCGAGTAAACCCTTCATCGTTGTGAACGGCATCGCGAACGTTTTGATGGCCAGGTAACTGATCAAAGCTGCCGAGTATGCAGCGATCACTACCACCGCCGTCAAATGGACGCTCAGATGCACCATCCTCGTTGGATCCAATAAAGACTGATCCATACCTGCTTTCGTATCATCCTATTCCTAAATTCTAACCTCTTCACGAGCACTGACTCGATTTCGAACGATCGCCGTTTACCTTGTCCGCAGAACACGCCGAACACGTGGAACAGGATCTCGAATAAATGGTTGGAGGGATAAGGCCTGCCATCGATCGAGGAGAGCCACTCGATTCGTCTCGAGAAGGCGTCGATTCCTGCGATAGTTAAAGTCACGATCACAATAGTCAATGCTATCGCGTTCCAAATGTTCCACGCGAACGGCGCCAAATATGCGTTCCACTTCACCGCTGTCGTGTCCGGTCTCCTGATGTATACGCGACATCTGAAGAGAGAGAGAGAGAGAGAGAGAGAAATAGAAAAGGAACGAAAGGAAGATGGAGGATGAAGGGAACTCACTTGCTCGTGTAAATGGGAGTCGTAAATTTCAATACGTCCAACCTGTTGGAAGACATCATCATCTCGGTGGCGATCAGATCCGCCTCATCCTCTAACAACATCCGAATCGAACCTGTCCACGAACCGTTCAACAATTGGACGCCCCACGTCTCAGCTTCCTTGTACGAAAACCTGATAATTCGACATTATGACCATCGTTTATTCATTTTTCCGTAAACCTAACCTAACCGATCAAACTCGTGACTTTCTCGCGAAGTTGTCGGTGAGTCGAAACGTGATCCCGAAACGGGCTTCGCTTCGAGGAAGGAGAAAGGAGAGGAAGGATACGGGTGGTCGACGCGGGAACTATGTTACGCGGTTTCGCTTTAAAATGTCTGGAACCCGTTAGAGGAAATTCCCTGTCGTACGTGAATTCATTCCCTTACACGATGATGATTAATTAAAGATAACCTTGTGAATTAATAATCACAATCCGTCTTCCGTTAAAATTCATCCCCAATTTTCGTTGCATTTCAAGGAAATTATCCTTTCAATAGAGAGATCTTTACAATTGTACGTTTACGTAGAATCAAACATTTTTTTTTATCTCTGTCACAGATGCACGGCAATATGGCGTAACAAACAGACGGTCGTAATTCCTCATCGTTATTACGAAAGATTTCGTCGAAGCGGTGACGGTCGGAAGAGGGAATGGTTCGAGGAGAAATCGGCTGCCAATCAAGAGGAGTATTTTAGGAAGATAACGGCCAGACAATTGAAGGAAATACGCGAGCGTAGCATCAAGAAGAAAGCCGAGTGTGAAGCCGAGTGTAAAGAGAAGTGTGACAAGAAATGTAAAGAGGAGTGTAAAGATCAGGATGATAAAGAGACCACGTCTACAGCAAATCATAAAAAAGCAAGCGATGCGATAAAGTGCAATCCGAGTGACGACTCGGCATGCAATCCTGCGGAAGCAGGATCAAACGATGCTCCTATCGATAGGTATTTGCATTACATTAGTTTTTCAATTACTATAAGTTAAATTATTAATAATCATTGACTGACGTGCAATTCATTCCTTGTTGCAGTAGTTGAATAACCTCGCCGAAGAAACCAGTGATGAATGGCTGGCCAGTCTCATCGTGGGAAATCCGTGAGATAGGAGGATCCTATCAATAGGGAAAAAACATTGTAAACATTAATCTATGCGACGAGAGAATAAATAGGGAAATTTTTAACTTTTATCTATATAAAAGAGATTGATGAAGCTTTGATGATATAATTAGAAGTAAATATTTCTTTGTATGCATGTCACTGTAAATCTGCGACAAACGATAGCATTTTACGACTCACGTTAATGGCAACCACCCTTATGTTATGCCCGTGTAGATCGTGCCTGCGTTGATACAATCCGAGAAGAGGTCCTTGGAATCCATGACTCGAATTCCACATACCGAACATCATTGATCTCAGATAATCCTCCTTTCCAATTCGATACACGTCTTGAATTATCTCGGTTCCCTGCGAATCTCTTTGAGCCACCATAAAAACACAATCGAAAGGTATGTAAACGTCTGACAAAAACTCTTCGAATCTAGTCTCATCCCTTAGGAACAACAACCATGTCGGATAAGCCATCGTAATCCACTTGGACACCTATTATCATTTCATTTCAGTCTTCTTAGATTTTTTTTAATTTAATTTTTATTGTCACTCACCGAAACGAATTGCTCCCTGATCTCTTTGAAATCGTTCAACAACACGAACAACGGCCTCTTGATGTGATGATAAGTTTTCTCTACCTAAAACGATAATATATTTCATAAATCCATTAATATTAAATTTAATATCGATTAAATAAATTAAAATATTAATATTAAATTCACGAAATAATTTCACAATCAACCTACTCGATTCTTGAACATATGAAAATCCATAATCACAGTTCGAATGTGCAAATATTTGCTAAATTGCGTTTGAAGCGTCAAAAGTCCGTCCATTTCTTGCAAACCTGAAAAACCAATCAACTTTTCAATTTTCGCCAATATGCATTACCTTCAATCATCACCAATGCACTCACCCTCCTCTTCTATTAATTTTGAAGAGCCATGGAAAAGTATGATGCAAGTGTTGTTAAAGTAATCGTGAACTCCTTTGATCAAATTTTCGTACACGTAATACGGTCTTATTAAAATGGATTCAGCTTCCACTGGTAAAATATCGAGATACACGCAACTCGAAACGCACAACAATAATAATGTTGTATGAAATTGAAAGTTCGTCATAATGTCGTATTATTCGCGAGATCGATTCGTATCACTAGTGACTCGTTCACGGTCGTCACGCGACTGATTTTATTCTCCACTAATTTCCAGAACCCAAGAATCAAAGCTCAAACGTAACTCTTTATTCAAGCCAATCGTGATTTGCAAAATCGCGTTTAATACAATAGGACTGAACAGTGAAAACCTGCAATCGAATAGGATGCGAGTAACTAGGAGATCGAACAATCGATCAATCGAATCAGATAAGAACACAATCGAACGATCTCTGCTTCTCCTCTGAAGCGATAGTTGCCTAGTCCGCGGTATCGATTAAAACATGGCAATGTTGCTTTACGGAAATCGATTACGATAAAAAATTGCTCTCGTTTCTAACGATGATCTCTTGCAGCTTTTTCAAACTTTATTACTTCTTTGTATCTTCTCACGATCGATTTTTACATGTCGACTTCGATTCGAATTCGATTCTCTTTACACGCGATATTTGCATTAGCATTAGTAAACAGAAGAGATTCCACAACCTTTGTGATCCTCGCATTTCTTGTGCGAATAATTCATTTCCTTCGAATAATTCTAGTTGTTAGCTTCGTGTCAACATAACGTTGTGATCGAAACGATGGAAATTTGATGAAATTTTTTTCCTTGGAATTACGCGATAAATATAAATTTTTCGTGATTAATCCATTATTAATATATATATTTATCCCTCTGACGTAAATCCAGATAAAGGATTCGGTGATAAACGTCGATTAAACGCGATAAATGCAAGTAAATTAACCTGTAAAATATTCCAATGCAATTTTCCGTTTAATTGTGTATCGCGTGACATGCAAATGCAATTATACATAGTAAATTATCATCGATAATGAGTCAAATGATAGGTTTATCGTGCCAAGGACCCGATAAGGGTAAAAGCAGAAATTTACGATTTGCCAATTCTTGAATCGAAAGTCGAGTCGAAGTTTACGGGATCTACAATTCGGATCGAATGATTCATAATCATGAATACCTCGATTATTTTTTTACTGTTAACATTTCTCTGTGTGTGCTGCGAAAATCAAGGTACGAATCAAAGATCTATCGATCGATCGATTTACTATAATATAATTTAACCGCTAATATGATCGTGTTGCAGTGAAATACAATTCGAACAACTATCACAATGTCCAGACTAATTCGAGCGACATCATTGATGAATTCACGTTAAATTTTGTTAATCAATCGACGCACAAAATGATAAAGATCTTTTGCTTTATCGATTCGATTTTCCCCGATGTAAAAACGATAAATCATTTGTTCGAACTCAAGATGACAAACAACAATCTTACACACTCGTACTTCAAAATCGATTGCCCAAAACGAAAATATCGAAGATCGATATTTGGCATAGAAGAATCGAACTTGATCCAGTATCCGATGAATTACTTGCTATCGTCGATTAGATCGATTGCAAATGTCGCTATCAAGCCAATGTCTTGGACCACGAATCAACTATTAAATTTAATATATGAGTTTATGATAAATGTAGCACTTCCCTGGCTCTATCGTTTTCTCAATGAAATCAAAAAATTAAACATTCTACCCTCACGTTTGAACGATTTAATCGAATTGTTTAACAACATTTATCATCTTATGAAACTTTTTGGTTACATTAACTGATTCTCCTAGTTTTTAAATATTTATATATCTAATAACGATATTCATTTTATTGTTTTTTTACGAAACGAATCTTATAATAAGTTTTCTGCCCGCACATTCACTTTTCTTCATTTCCTATCTTTGTTTCCTGTTTTACATTCGACTTACGAAAATATTTGTAAAAAGCAACGAGAGAAATCATCTCTATAGTTCAAGAAAATGCGGGTATTATGTGTAAGTATCTAATCCATGATTGTTATTAAAATTGTTTGCAAAAGCGATGCGGGAATGAATAATTGTTTTTTTCCCCATTTTTCTTTCTTATCTAAAAAAAAGATTTTTTAAAGAATATTTGACTTTTTTTAAATTAATATTCAAATGATAATGCATATTATCATATCATTATGATATTATCTATGTCATTTCTGTTTATTAACATAAGTGGTTAAAAAAATAATAGATAATAGCTAATGAACGATGAATAGTATCATAAAAATAATTGTTATAGTCTTTAAGCGGTAAATTAACCTGTTATATAATAAATACAATATTTTCCTAAACATTATAATTTAATCGATCCAAATATTAAAGACACTGTTCAATCCTTGATTGAAAATTTTCACTCTATTATAATAAAATAAATAGAAATTTATTTTAAATCTACGATTCAGAATCGGTTCGTTGATCGCTCGAGAAACATAGCATCACGTCCTCGTTAGAAACAATATTTATCGAAGAACAGCGGAGAGACACGAACATGTGTAAAATTGTAGGTTACGTAAACCGAAGGACGCTTCTAAACGAGCACCGTGTTATCGTGTACCGTTCATACACGGAATCCGGGAAATCGAATCGGCGAATGGCCGGCTCGAACGGCCGGAAATATTTGACCAATCGCGATAAGCATCGATGCACCGAGACGAGTCATTTTGCGCGTGACGACCAAGCCTTTTTGTCGGTTACGACCATAAGCGTCCATAAAGGCACGTTCAACCGAAGTCTGGTTCCACCATTAATCTATGATAACCTCAGATCAGCCTAAATTCCACGATGTTCAAATATCTTAAAACCACTTTACTAATATAAACTTGTCACTTGTCTTCAAATATTCTTTCAAACTTTAAATGAAGTCGATTGCTTTCAATTTTCTTTGACTTAAAATGATAGGTCTTGAGTATGTACTTGTATGTAAATTTCTAACAAATTCGCAAATGCGTGTTAACCTAAAATAAAAATAAATTAGATGAAAAAAATGTTTAGATTTTTGAAAAATGAAAAATATAATGGAATTTTAGAGTGACGAAAGAAATATATGTCATAATAACTGATAGTTGTGACAAATAGAACGAATGAAATTAACATTTGACTAATTTGAAAGAGACTTTACCGCGTTACACCACATCGTGATTATTCATTCGTGGACCGTCGTGCGCGCGCGGGCGGACGTATTCGTTTCTATTCGCTTTTCGCAACAATGCAGGTGAGCACATACGCATCTCCACCCGCGTGTGTCAGTTGGTCGTGAAATTGCAATTTGATCGCATGTTTTTCGAACGAATTAAGTCGATCGAAGTACTCGATTTTCTGAATTCCTATTTACGACAATGGATCGTTTATTGTACTGATCGCTATCCTGTCGAGTCTCTTGACAACAACGTTTCGCGCGTCTTTTATCGTTTTATGTTTACACGTCTACATTTATTGCACGTTGTTCCGCGAGAAATCGTAAATTTCGCTAGATCTTTTAGCGTTTTCGATCGATTACGCAAGCGATCTCGACGGTAGATCGTTGTGTGCAGGTCGAGGCAACGTTCGCGAAAATCCTTGGCACACAATATCGAAGCTCGAGAACCGTTTGCACCGCGCGATGCGAGCGGTAGACGAGCGACGAACATGACGACGATCGTTCGTCTTCTTTTAGGAATCGTGTTTTCCTGGTTTCTCGCAAGAACAGGTGACGATAATTGGACTATTAGATATATTTCTATTAGATATATCTATATATTTAATTCAACACGCACGGCCTCTATTATCGACGGCTCATTTACCATTGATTCCAACAGACTGTTGCTCGGCCGTTACATGGGAGAAAATTGGTGGCGTTAAACCAGAAACGTTTGACTCGCAAACAATCCTCTTTAGCACGGTCAATTCGAACGGAATAACGAGATACTGCTTCGAAAGGTAATGCCAAGGAAAAACGAAATGAAAGAACGAAATCTTTGGTCATATATGCATTTCAGGTGCGAGCGTATAAATTGCACCGCATTCATAGTAGACTTTGGGAAACATATTTGCTACGCGATAGAAACAAAGGACGACGAGTTGATACCTGACCCGAATTCGACGTTTTATCATCGAGTTTGCGTGAGAGGTAAGATGATTCGATCATTTTCAAACGATTATTCATCAATTTTAATTTTTTATTTCCAATTAGTTCCGATAAGTTGCACACGACGTAGACTTTGGCAAGTGGAGAGAAGCCCGGGAGCGGTGTTGATAGATTCCAGCGCCTTACATCTGCCCAATCCAATTACGAGAAATCAGTGTTACGAAAAATGTATAGAGACAGGTAAGATCCAGACGTTAATAAACTGTTATTGAATCTGATTTATCTGCGATGAATGTCAAACATCGCCTCGATTTTCTTATAGGAGGAAGCTGCGAATCCGCGCAATTCCGAACATCGAAACCTCTCTCATCGAACGAAACTGCGCTCGGCCGATGCTCTCTCTCGTTGTACGAACGTGGAACCAGACCTCGAGCGTACAGAGCCTCGATGTACAGAGATGAATATCTTCGAGATCAATGTCGAAATCTGTGTGAGTACAAATTTCAAAAAAGACGTTTTAAATCGAATCGAATAATAAAATATCCAATCTCCATTGATTACAGCTAATCGCGAATACTGTTCGTATGCGGAATTTCAAAATGTTTCGTTGCCATATTCGGACTTCGCTTTATCCAATCTTGACGAGGAGCAGGTAAGTTAAAGAAATTCTTCGGTACTTTACATTTCGTTTCATTGGACGGATCGATTCTGTACAGTGCGAGAGAAGATGCGACGCAAGTATAGATGGTTTTATTTGTCGGGGATATACGTTCGACAATTCGTCCAGTAAACCAGTTTGCCTGTTACATTCGGAAGATACCACTAGTTTAGGGGTTAGCTCGCTGATCGATGCTACAAAAACGATATACAGAGAACGGGAATTATGTTTAGATTGTAAGTTGATCAAAGAGAAAGAAATCACGTATACAAGATGTTACAATATTCATCAGAACATTTTCAGAGAATCAATTCTAGCTACTATAAAACTTTACTTTCCAAGACTTTTCATAACCTACAAATATTGTAACATCTTGTGTTACATTTTATAGCTTTTACGTTTCATTCTTTTTCTTATCAGTAAGAGTACAATGCAATGATTCAACGATGACGGTCATGTTGAGAACAAACGATCCCTTTTTTGGCCGAATCTATTCGAATGGATACGCAGATACTTGCAGCGTTCAAGGTACAGGCGGTAATCAAACGATGTTGATGCTACCCATCCCAACCGCGAACAACGTTCATCAAGGCAAACTACATTGTGGCCTGAACCCCGCTTTTTCTGTCGACGATCGAAATCGGCAAGTCGATAACAATTTTCTCTAAACTCTCTTAGGTATTCTCCATTTTATAGAAATAAATAAATTGATCATAGAACGCGACCATTGGTCTGGGCGACGATAGTCGTACAATTCAATCCAATCGTTCAACGGCTCGGTGATCAAGCGATTAGGGTAGGATGCTCGTTGAGCGATCGAGAGCCACCAGAAGCGAAAAACATTACTGTTCATTCGAGTTTCAGTTTTCTCGATCCAAAGTGAGAACTTATTTTTCACTTCTGTGATTCTTATCATTCGTACATAATTATTCACGATACATACATTTTCTATGTTTTTTAGCGCAGGAGTACCGCCAATCTCTTCGACAATAGTCAATGTATCCTCGCAAGTACCAATAGTCACTATGAGAATTCTAGACGAGAATATGAGAGACGCGATGGTCACGCATTTAGGTCAAAAGCTCATATTGAAAATTCAGTTAAGTCCACCGAACGGTAAGCAAATTATATTATACACATAAACGCCTGATTCCTGATATAAAAACAAATCGAAAATATAGAATATTTTTTTAAAAAAATCGAATTTGAATTGTAAATATATATACCTATGTATAATTTTTTATATATGGTTATAGGTCCTTATGATATCACTGCCGGTCACCTTGTAGCGAGTAGCGCTTCGGGTGATGCTTCTTATTTGTTACTAAACGAAGTTGGATGTCCTACAGATTCAACTACTTTTCCAGCGCTCACGAAAGATCCACTCGATGGTCGTTCTTTGATTGCAACCTTTACCGCTTTCAAATTTCCTAACAGTCAGATAGTCCGATTTAATGTAATCGTTCGATTTTGTTTGCAAAAATGTACGCCGGTAAGTTTGATTTACGTCCGCACTTTTTAATTTTTTTAATATTCGTGATGGTTGATTCAACATGTATTGCAGACAGTCTGTAATGGCGATAAACTTTCCTATGGAAAAAGAAAACGATCTATCGAATCTGAGAATACACATTCGATTTATAACGATGAAGCGACACAAATGTTTCAAAATGAAACACCGGAAGAGTTACCGCTTTATCTCTCTATAATTGTACAAAATCCCGTTGCATCTTCGGCTGATCGTTTGTCTTCAAGAGAGAACGTATCTCCCGATACCGTATTGATAACCGGAGAAAGTAAGTTTAATAAATTTCTTTACTTTTATTTTCAGATAATTCTCTTTAGATTTCTTTTCTTCTTTTTAGATTCTATGGACGGATTGCTTTGCATCGATGCTAGTCTTGCCTTGAGCTTATTAATTATTTTACTGATCATTCAAATCACATTTATCGTTGGCTGTCTAGTAACTATTGCACAATATAGACGAACAGCGATACGAGCAGAAGAAGACAGAGCCAATATTCTGGCTAGACATCTCTACGGTATTCATGGAGGAAATCTTGAAATTGCACGAAGAGTCAGATGGGCCGATCATAATGCTTCCTCCGCGTCTCATGATTAACTTGCATAACCTTTCATCATCTTTCATCATACATACATACACACATACATTTTAGATCGATTTCTTAAGTTGATACAATTCTATAGGTAGGAAAGGACACATGAATAGAAATACGATATTTTCAATTAAAACTTGTATTAAAAATGAAACAAGGACGAAAAAACAATTATGCAACTATGCGTTAAAACAGTCTTCTTAAACAGAGAACATTCATAATTTGCATATTAATATTCCTGATCAGCAAAACATTCAAACTATTATCGTTATCTTCCTCTTATTTTCGTAGTCGTGCAACGTCCATAATGTCTTAATGAAACATCTGTAACAAACAATATTTGTGTTTTTTTAATAGATTAATGAAAGTTTAATCTTTCTAACCTTTTCCACACATAGACGCACAGCTTAGTTGCCCAGGATTTTTATATTCAACTTGGTCTGTTCCACATACAGGATTATATTCGGGTGTCGTCTGAAAATTTCATCATTTCTCATTCACTATGAATTATATTGTTTAATTTTTCGATATAATCAAAAGGAAATATTTGATACGAAAGAAAATATTTTGAAGATATGATTTATTATATACATCATTAAATTTATGATAATGATAATGAATGTATATACTATGTATAACTATGATATCATACTTATATCAACGATATTATATGATCAAAGGAAAAAAGAAAAAATATTTTATAACTCACACGACATGTTGCAACACACTGATCGAATTGAGGATCAACAGTAGCTGCTGTAGAAGTAGTTGTTACAGTTGTGGAAGTTTGCCGTAATGGTCTATTTGCTGGTCCATCAAAAATAAATCCATCTACTTCGAATGTGGTAGGTAGCGTTTGAATCTCAATATTGTTCAAATTGGTTAAATCGTTCTTAATATGATCAAATGATAATTAATCGATTTGATTGAACAAAATGATTCGAATTAAACAATTAAATTTTTCTTACCTGTGGAAATGCGATTATATTCCTACTCGAAGCAATAGCTACAATATGTGTTTCCATGAATTGATCTTTTATATGGTACTATTATGGAATATAAATTACTTGATGCACACTTACCTAATATTAGAAAAAACAACCACATTTTGATTAATCAATCGCCTTTGTTTTATATCTTTTATACATCCACTTTTATTTTCTCTTTCTCTTTTTCGTTTTTTTTCAAACTTTATTATTATTTAAATTTCTTTAATGTAATAAGATCAAGGATTTACTGAACGAACAAAATTATTCGCGTACTTTTATAGTTGAGCTACAGACAAGTTGAATGGCGAACAGCAAGTAGTAACAGCAACTAATCAGTGTTGCAAGATGATCGATTATAAAAATTCCTATGCAAATACATTGGATTTTCCTGTTAAGTCACTACATTGCATCGTAGTCAATATTCAAGATAAAAGAAATAAACAATCTCTATCTAGCTTGATTATCTTGTCGAATTATTTATTCGATATAATTTATTTTAAATAGTCTTTTATTCTGCTATGTTATACAGAGCAAAAAGTAAACAGCACAAGTTTGATAAATTACATGCTTCTACATTCATATGTTATTACATATTATGTATATTAGATCACCACACCTAGAAATTCCTCTTTTCATAATTTGCTGTTCAAGGTTAATACTTCTTTTTTTTGTTTCATCCCAAACTAATAAATTAAAAAAAAATCTTAATTTGTTTACAGTACATTTTAAAATATTTCTTGTAAAAATGGAAAAAAATATAAAAAATTATATTTTTTAATTTTTAATAAGATTCTAATAACATATTTATATAGTATACTTTTTAATATATTATATACAATTTTTCTATCTATATAATACTTGCATAAGTTATAATGGTTAACGATAAACATCAAATTAGAATTTTTTCCTCTAAATACACAAAAATGATATTTTAATGTATAGAGATACGTGCATATATGCGCATAAAAAACTTGCGCAAATATTAAATATCTTTTGAATATGAATGCAATTTTAATTTTAGGATTATATACGGAAAGCATATCGGATACCGATATGATACGATATTGATTATTTATTCATACGTGCAAATAAAAAATGCTTAAATACTTACAATTAGACACAACACACTATCGCAAAAATGTGTTATCTACAATTCCTAATTTTTTCTACTAACATTGATCTTTAAGATTTTCGTTTAACGAAATCCTCAATTTTTATTACAACAAATTGAATTCATTTAAAGCTTATGACTAATTTTTCTTTTCATCTATTTCATATTTTACAATACACTCTACATCTTTCAAAGCACGTATTCGAAGCAATTATATATACATTTTTATATTTCGATCCAAATTTTATTCGCTTTGATATCTAATGATACAAGCGTACCATAATATTGCTTCGTCCACACTATTAAGCATCGTCAGTGATCGTTATCTTTGAAAATATATTGCCGTATTTATCGCAAATAAATCTTGTATGAATATTAAAATTGAACATAAAATGGCAGTTAATAGGAATGATAACATGATACAATATTATACATAATTATAGAAGAAATTTTTTAAAAAAATTTTCTCATATTTTTTAACGAATAACGCTAAACAATTTCATTCTATTATTTACTCAATCAATAAACCATCAAATAATTATCCTTTGTTTCCATTTTAAAATTATTCCATTTTAAAAATTTTTTGAATTTTCATTTTCTCTATTCGCCAAATATTTTAAATCATTCACACCGACGATGTTGTTTTAATTATGATTGCTCAGAATGTTATGTAGCATAAATGGTGCCAGCCTTTTTCTTTGCTAAATCAGTTGCCTTTTTTGCAGCATCCTTTACCTTTTCTGCTTTACCTTGTAATGAATGTTGGAAATCTTCTGCAAGACTTGTCTTTCCAGGAAATTCTTCAATCTAAAATAAAAACAGTTAAATAAAAATTTTTTTTTCTTTCATACTGATTCTTTATATGCATTTCTTTTACTAGATGAGCAAAACCCATTTGAGAAAGTGATGGATTCATATATTGTGCCGTGTGAGGAAACAAATGAGCTAGAACGTAATTAAACCCATTATACATCAAAGTACAATTCTTTTTAAATCTATCCAATCCAAATGCTTGAATAGCTCTACTAAATCCAAATACTTGACTATCAATCCAAGCTGATCGTTTTGCTACTGTCCAATTAGAGTTTTCTTCACATACTTTATAAACAACCTTCTCTACAATGCTCTGAAATAAACAAACCACAATAAGAATCAATCATCAAATAATTGTACTATAATATTTGTTATAAATTTATTGCACACAATGATATATTAAATTATATCACACATATCAAATTACCATGACTTTAGTATAACCTAAATTTCTTGTATATGTTGTTAAAGTCTTTGTCTTTGGATCCACTATACTCTCTTCAATAATTTTTACTATATTTTTGCTAACAAATCTCTCTCCCCATTTAGGCACTCTGTTAGTTTTTGTCAAAAGACGTGTGCTATATAATATACCATTTTTAACTTTTCTTGATATAGTATCCTCCGTAAGTACATGAGAACTATACATGAAAACAATTTATATTTTACATTCATTTTTTTTAAATATTTCTAAATGAATACTATTATATGTTTCACAAATATATCTGGAGCTTGATATTTACCTATTAGGATTTGGATATCTCTGCCAAAATCCATATGCAACTTGATTCCAATTAAATTGAAAAATTGTACTACTTTCGTAGTATTTAACCATTCTTAATATCAACCAATATAATTTATTTAATGACCAATATAATTTATTCTTATGATTCTTATGATACTTTTTTAAAAATTTCTTTGCCAAAAGCAAAGTTAATCATGTGTCACAAATCTTAATTCTAATTTGTGTTTTTTAATCTGAAAATAAATAAAATATATGCATTATATAAAAAATATTTTCTTTCATATAGAAAATTCAGATATAAAAAAAATTATTTTATTTAAATGAATCTTTATTATTATTTACAATATATTATAATAATAAATTATATTGCATAAAAAATTAATATATTATAATTCGTCGTAAATTAATTAATGAAAAATTCAGTATTTACACAATAATATTAATCTTATTAAAAATTCATACATATATATTTTATACCATAAAAAATATAAAAAACTTATTTAAAAACAAAAAAATATACATGAACAATATAACATATAATTCAAAGTAAAAAAAAATTCTTAAAATCATCATTTTAATTAAATAAGAATTCAATGAAATTATATAACCTTTTCTATAGTATATTATTCTACAACATTCTTAATTATTCATAATTAATTAAATAATAATAAATTAAGATTTAATTTGGACTTCATTGATTAAGATTTATAATAACATGTTACAAAATAATAAATATGCACTACATTCAATAAAATTTGATTTTTAATCAATAAAAACCGATACACTTTTTGATCATGTAATAGTTGCGAACACTCTTCTAATAAAATATTTTGATTTTGAGTTTTATTCTACATAATATTTTTTTAAAATAATATATGTTCATATTTGTATAAAAAAATTTATGCAAAATTTATAATATATTTATATTACTTACATAGCAAATTATATTTCTTTCATATCAAATTATAAATTGTCATGCAATTAGAAAAACCTACTACAACATCAATATTATCGAACTTCTTTACCGTATTCTGTATATATTCACACACGTGCAAATGCATGCTTGCATATCCACAGTATAGACAACTTATTAAAGAAACAAATAAATAAATTGTTAATGTTATTTTGAAAACTTCAATGCTTTGAAATTTCTGTGTAGACACACATATTTAAAAATATAAATTATTGTTATAACATTTATTATATGTAATAAAGAAAATTACAAATGATTACTTGTGTATCATTTTTCAATATGAAATGTGGTAGAACCGTAGCGATTCAAAACATCAACGGATTACAGATTTCGATTGTTATAACGTAAATTAAAAATCGATTGATTACTATTTTCACGTTGTTTACAAACAACTAAGAGTGACGAGATTAGATTTATCGTCGTTGATTGTTTAAAAATCAGAAAGCTTAAAAATGCCAATAAAGACAAAGGAAATAAAAGGAATATTAATACCTATAGAAGAACAAGTAAGAAAAATATAACAATTTTATAATATTTTAATATTATAATAATATATTTCTTATATTATTTATTTCTTTTTTAAATGAAATAATATTTTAATACATTCGATATCTTAGGTAAATAAATTGAAAGAATTAATAAATACTAACCCTCATAATGAAAATGTTCCTATGTCGAAAAAATCTGTTCTCTTTGAACAATTGGAATGTTTGGGAGAAAAATTTGATTTACTATCGAAAGAAGAGATTAGCGATTATGAAGAAATGGAATCAAAGATCACTAGTATCGTGGAAGAATTTTGTTCCTTAGAATATATTAATGAATCTGTACGTTAAAACAAAATATAAATATTAATTTCTTATCCACTTTTATAATAAATTTTTTACAGATTGAAAATATAGATAAACAAATGGCAAATCAAATTTTGTCTACTGTATTAGATAAGTTTAAGTTAGCTCTTGAAGCTTTAGAAAAATTAGAATGTTTGCCATTAAAGCAAAGATTGACAGATTGTTTAGATTATATTAGAGAAATGGGTCAAGCTAATGAAATTGAACATTTTCAGAACATTAAGGTATAAAATAATATAGTATAAAAATTTTTCATATGATTATATCAATGTTTGGATAAATTATAAATTACTTAATATTATATATAAATATAAATAAAATATTCTCTTATCAGGAATTGGGCTCTTGCATTTTGGAATTGCTTGGACCATTACAAATATATAGGAAAAGCTTAATGTGTCAACTATTAGCTGAAAAGATCATATTATATTTGTGTCAGTTATGTGCAGCATTTAAACTGTTAGTACAATTAGTACAAGAGCAGCATCGCCTAAATGCACCAATCTATGTAATAAAATGTTTTATGATCTCTACATTTTAAAAGCATACACAAGCATATTCTAATAGGATACTTATGCTTTATTTGCATAGAATTGCAAGAAATATGTGTGTGAAAGACTTTGCTTTTGCTTGAAGATGATAATAGAAATATTGGATATGTTAGATCCATTACCAGAAGATGAAGAATTTGAACAAAAAAATCACTTTGTTTATAGGTAACTTAATTTTAATTGTTTCCAAAAAAATAATATTTTACATTTGTGTCTATTTTAACAGTTTATTTTGCATTTAGAATGGACTTGGTATTGGACATCTTATCAGAAATGCCAAATAAATCACTACAAGATCAAATACAGGAATGCAAAGATTTATGGTTTCGAATAGAAGATGTGTTTTCATATGCAATGGCTATTGCACAGGTTTGCAAACCTTGCAATTTTAAAGCAATAACTGGAACCTGTCAATCCATTATATCAGAATATGAAAATTTAAAATTTCAATTAACTTCGGAATCGTCTGATACAGCATTGAATAATTTGTTTATGAATAGTTTGAGCGATGCACTTTATCGTTTAGAACGTAAAATTAATGTATCGGTATTGAATCTTGTTATGGAAGTTTTTAGTGATCCTTTTCATGCTCTGAGAAAACTTGTTACAATCTGTGGTAATTCATTAAGCGCTAAAAAACGATCTAAAAATGATTTATCCAATGCTATAGAAGATTTCGATCAAATAATAGATAAATCTATGCAAATTGGACTATTTGCTATTGCTTCTTGTAAAGATAGAAATCGTAAGTTAATTCATATAAATTGATAAAATTTGTATCATTATTATATTATTTATTTATTCAATTTTTAAATTGTTCCAGGAATTAATCAAGTCCGAAATTGTTTGGCAAGTCTTGAATCTTTAGAAACTGAATTGATTTCCGCCATTACCATGTTTTATTTGCATCCAGACAGTAAAGAGATACGAGCAAATGTAAAGTTATTAACTGCACAATGGCAATTAGAAGTCAATAAATTACATGATGCAATTAATCTGATTATGGATTCTGCTGCTTATTGTCAAGTATTTTTTAAATATATCCTTGGAGTATAATTATATATAATAAAAATTAAAAATGTAAATTTAAAAAAAAATTTTACATATTATTCACTTAGGTAGTTTTAGATGATCTTCAAGATCGTATTTCAGAGATGTCGAATTGTCTTGATAATAGAAAGCCTGTCACTCAAGCACAGGTACAAAGCGTCGTGCTTAGATCGTTATCACTCTCTCGCCAAATTAGTATTACAATAAACGATATTGGAAGTGATATCGTTGAAAGACAAACAATAATGATGATTAGAGAATTAAAAGCTGGTAAATATTTATTATACGAAATTTTTAATTTGTTCTTTTATTGTATGCAACTTTATAATCATTTCTTCCTATTTTGAAGCAATTTTTGAAGCTGATGCTGCTTCAAAAAGTCTTTTAATAGAAAACGCTACTGAACCACAACAATTACGGGTAATAAAAAGATGCGAATTAATATTGAATGTAGTAAAACGATTACATCCCGCTTTAGTTGCTATTATGAATAATACAATGTTAATGAATACAACTTATGGTAAAAATGGCAAGGGACAAGGTGACACTATTCATGGTACGTTATTTTCTCTTTAATTATTAATTTTTACTGTTACATTCATTTTATACACTTCTTTTTTTCTAGATGTGAGTAATAAATTAACATCTACAATTTATGGATTATCCAATGATAATCATAGAAAACCTTTAACTTATGTAAGAACTCCTTATACAGGTAAGAATATTTATATAAATATCATGAATTTATGTTTATACTTTTTAATTATCGATACGTTTTTTTAGTGAGCAGTTGCAAATCGCCATTATCTATACAAACTGCGAATAGTGTTTCTAGAACGCAATTGAATTTATCATGTTTGATTCCTTATATTAAAAAGGGACGTGAAATGCGCACTGAACGTTCAGTCATGTATAAAACACCATGCAAAAATGATTCCCTTGATCGATCTTTGATCGATGAAAAATTAAAAAACCGCAGTTTGACTACCATCAGACAACATCTTTTTAGTAGAGACAATATTAGCTCTCATGACGATACATGTTTATCAGAGGAAAGAATGAATCTAACAGGTATATAAATACAAAAATATTTCATATTCAATTTAAAAATTTTTAATATTAAATAATTTTAATTAATCATTGATTATTAATATAATAAAATTGTAGGTATTTTAGAAAGATTTGTATTTTCTTGTACAAATTTAACTACAACATCAAAATCTCACCATGTTGAGAAAAGTCAACATGATACAAATACTGATGGATCAGATAAAAAGTCTGTTCGACATTTAACAGAATTGGTTGAATGCATCGAAAACCAATCTGATATGACAACAGGTAAAATGGATCAGTGTTCTACAATTGGCGGAGGTGATGGTCCATCAATCGTAAATATATCAAAAACTTACGATGATACGCAACGCTTAAGTAATAATACCGAAATAACGCAAGAACGATTATTTGGAGATTAAATATAACTGTTATGAATTACATTGATAATGAAAAATAATGATCTTCATTGAATTTGAAGTTTCAGTACATTGATCGAAAAATACAAACGTTCACAGTTAAAATACAATGTGTTAAAATAGTTTTTATTAAAAATTAAATGCAATTTATTTTTAAATAAATAAAGAATGTATGT